CACCGAGCGAGCCTTGTGTTTCGAAACCGGTCGGCGCACGCGCAGTCTGCGTGCCGCCGCGGTCACTAGTCAGAATCTATGCTTGACGCCGTCCGCACGTTCGTTCGCTAGTTTCCGACGCGCTTTTACCTATTGCTGTTATCATATGTTTTTCTGTGCTTATTCTTCTTCTGTGCTTGTATATCTATCTGCTGTTCTCTGTACTCCTTCTATCTGTGTCTGTGCTAAGTAAATGTGCTGTGACTGTCAAGTGTTGGACTTCTTATTTAACCGCCTTCATACAGCTAAGTACCTAGCATAAGACTATTATCGTAGCGTCTATAAAACAACCTCAACGCTAAAGTGGTGACCCCGACGTGATTAAAACATTTAATTGCAATAATGAGTGACAGCAGTGACACAGCGACTTCGCAAAAAGGCGAGAAAGGCAACGTCACCCGCCGCACAAAAAAACCGGAGCGCGTTTCCACGCCCGAACCATCCGGCTTTAAGCCGTACAATCTGAAGGTTCCGACATTTTCACCGGACGACCCAGAAATTTGGTTCGCACTATTGGAAGGCCAATTTGAGGCTTACGGCATTAGAGACGATGCTGTCAAATTTACCAGCGTCATCACCAACCTGGATATGATTCATGCAAAAGCCGTCAAGGATGTTATCGTGGATCCTCCACCTCGTAACCGGTACTTTACAATTAAAACTGAATTGATCAAGCGACTGACTGCTTCCCACGAGAAGAAGGTGAGGCAATTACTGACTCATGAGGAGCTTGGAGATCGGAAGGCATCGCAATTTCTTCGGCACCTACAGGACTTAGCCGGCCCAAACGTACCAAAGGAATTCATCCAATCGATTTGGACCAGCCGACTTCCACAGAGCATACAGACCGTGCTAGCGTCCCAGCCCTCACACTCTCTGCAGCAGCTTGCCGACTTAGCGGATCGCATCCAGGAGATCACCGCACCTGGACAGATTGCGGAGACTTCATCCCGTGCCACAACATCCAGCAGCAGCAGCGACATCCTGGGCGAGATCAACGAGCTTCGCCAGATGGTGAAGCGTTTGGAAGCGAAACTCGACCAGCAGACGCATTCATCGCGCAGCTCTAATCGCTCCAGATCTCACCGACGTCGTAGTTCTTCGCGCCCAGGGACCAGGACTTCTTCGAGCTACCGCCGGTACCCCCTCTGCTGGTACCATTCCAAGTTCGGCTCTGATGCGAAGAAATGCATGAAGCCGTGCGATTTTGGAAGGTCGTCGTCGGGAAACGGCACAGGCAGTCGGTAATGGCGACAGAGGACTGCCTCACTTCACCAGGTCGCCTCTTCGTTACCGACCGCGTTACGAAGACGCAGTTTTTGGTCGACACTGGCAGCGACCTCTGTGTCTTCCCACGTAGCCAGCTTCGAGAGCGCCGCGTACCAACGAGCTACCAGCTTACTGCAGCCAATGGATCTACGATCCCCACCTACGGTTTCGCGCATTTTAACCTTGACTTTGGTTTACGCCGTACCTTTCCCTGGCGTTTTGTGGTAGCGGACGTTACTAAACCCATCATAGGCGTAGATTTTTTGTGCACCTATAATTTAATTGTAGACTGTAAGGATAGGAAGCTTATTGACAATATTACTACCATGTCTGTTCCAGCTTCACTGGCTTTAAAATGTAAGGATGTTCTTTCGGTGAAGGTTCTGACTGGTGAAACGCGTTATCACCTAATACTGACGCGTGAATTTTTAGAAATTACGCGACCAGCTGGCACTCAACGCACTGTACCACATAACACACTTCATCACATCCGCACTACACCGGGTCCTCCAGTCTCATCAGCACCCAGGCGCTTAGCTCCGGACAAGCTGAAGATCGCGAAGGCTGAGTTCGATGCCATGCTTGCTAATGGCACAGCTAGGCCTTCCGAGAGCTCGTGGTCTTCTCCGCTCCACCTAGCGCCGAAGAAGGACAACGGCTGGCGTCCCTGCGGCGACTATAGGCAGCTTAACGCACGTACCGTGCCAGACAGGTACCCCATTCGTCACATACACGATTTTGCACATAGCATCTCTGGTTGTAAAGTCTTTAGCACCGTTGACCTTGAAAAGGCCTATAACCAGATCCCTGTCTGCGCAGAGGACATACCGAAGACTGCCATCACCACTCCCTTCGGTATGTTCGAATTTCCATATATGACGTTTGGTCTGCGTAATGCAGGCCAAACGTTTCAACGTTTTATAGATGAGGTGACGCGTGGCCTTGACTTCGTCTACCCATATATGGATGACATTCTCATCTTTAGCCGCGATCACCAGCAGCACGAAGACCACCTCAGGCAGTTATTCACTCAACTGCGACACTACGGCTTGGTTGTCAACGTGTCCAAGTGTGTTTTCGGGGCTCCCGAGGTAACTTTCTTAGGTTATCGCATTTCGGAGAGCGGAACCAAACCACTGGACGAAAAGGTACAAGCCATACGCGACTTCCCCCCACCCAAGGACGTCAGGTCGCTCAGGCGATTTTTGGGTATGGCCAATTTTTATAGGCGATTTTTACCCAATGCCGCCCTAATACAAGCGCCGTTAAACGCTTTGCTCATAGGGGCAGTGAAGGGATCCACACCCATCACCCTAGCCGATGATGCTCTGAAGGCTTTCTCAGAGACCAAAGAAAGCCTCTCTAACGCCGCTCTTTTGGCACATCCAGATTGCCGAGCTAAGCTAGCGTTGGTTACAGACGCATCGGACTTGGCTATTGGTGCCGTCCTTCAGCAGCTAAAGGACAACGTGTGGGAACCATTAGCTTTTTACTCCCGAAAACTCAGCCCGTCTCAACAAAAGTACTCGCCGTACGATCGTGAGCTTCTTGCCATCTACGAGGCCATAAAATACTTCCGGCACATGCTTGAGGCGAGGCACTTCACGATCTATACGGACCACAAGCCGATCTGTTTTGCCTTCCGGGAACAGAAGCAAAACTGTTCGCCAAGACAGTTCCGGCATTTAGACTATATTTCCCAGTTCACGACCGATATAAGGCACATTTCTGGCAAAGACAATGTTGTCGCCGACACCTTATCTCGCGTCGATGAACTGGGCGCTCCAATCTGCCTCGCTAGCCTCGCCCAATCCCAGGAAACGGATGCTGAATTGGCCCAGTATCTCACTGACGGGTCATCTCTCCGTCTGGAGAAGGTAAATTTCCCTGGATGTCGGACACCCTTGTACTGCGACGTCAGCACACCGACTCCCAGACCGTTTGTCACAACAAACTTTCGCAGGCAAGTATTCCAAAGTCTGCATTCACTTAGCCACCCCGGTGCCGCAGCCTCTGCACAACTCGTCGCAGAAAGGTTCGTCTGGCCTGGAGTGCGGAAAGACTGCCGCGAGTGGGCTCGATCATGCTTATCGTGCCAACGTGCGAAGGTCAGTCGACACGTATCCGCGCCTTTGGGTACTTTCGACTTACCTCGTGCACGATTCCACCACGTAAACATCGACCTTATAGGCCACTTACCGGTCTGCCAGGGCTACAAGTACTGCCTGACAGCCGTTGACCGCTTTTCACGGTGGCCCGAGGTCATGCCGTTGCCCGATATTCGCGCTGAAACAGTGGCAAAGGCACTAATCGCTGGATGGATTTCACGTTTTGGTTGTCCTACCGATATTGTAACAGACCGCGGCGCTCAGTTTGAGTCCGCACTGTTCCAATATCTGGCAAAGACCATCGGCTTTAGGCACAAACGCACTACAGCATACCATCCAGCGTGCAACGGCCTCGTTGAGCGTTTTCATCGACAGCTCAAGGCCTCCATCACCTGCCACGCTCAGCAAAACTGGATTGAGGTGTTACCTTTTGTGTTGCTTGGTATACGCAGTGCCTACAAAGACGACCTTCAGTCGTCCTCAGCTGAATTGCTGTATGGCGAGCCTTTAAGGCTTCCCGGGGAATTCTTTGAACCGTGCACACCCTGCACTTCTGACTTGTCAGATTTCACAGCGCGCTTACGCACGTTTGCCGAGACCCTCAAGCCAGTCCCAGCCTCTCGCCACAGCAAAAACAGAGTGTTCGTATACAAAGAATTAGCCACCACCGAATATGTCTTCCTCCGCGAGGACGCTCCGCGTGTGACCTTTCAGCCGTGTTATTCTGGCCCATACAAGGTATTAGAGAGGAATGATAAAGTTTTCAAACTACTTGTCAAGGGTAAGCCTGTCACAGTTAGCATCGACCGCCTAAAGCCCGCTTTTATCCTAGCTGACGAGAAGGACCTACACAACACTCACGCATACATACCACCGAACACTCACACATACATACCACCGAGCACTCACACTTTTATATCACCAAACACCACTCAGACACACACTGACACACTTCCACCTACATCACCTCAACCTTCCAAAACCACTCGTTACGGGAGACGCGTCAGGTTCCCGGACTATTATCGACCCTAACCAGGTCTCTGGGGGGGAGTGATGTGGGCATACACCCACAATAATTACTTATATTATATAAATATTTTATTACTTTAAAATATTATATAATATAAACTTCATTATTACAATATCTTATATTTATGTATTCTATATACAAAACTTAGCACTGAAACACTTAATTATATTTACATAATTATTAAATCATATTTACACTTATATATTTACAGTAAATTATACTTACACACAAGTTCATATCAAATACTAAAAACACGTACGGCATCATTTCATACCAGCTGATTGCCGTCCGTTAATAGTGGAGTCGCGCACACACCGAGCGAGCCTTGTGTTTCGAAACCGGTCGGCGCACGCGCAGTCTGCGTGCCGCCGCGGTCACTAGTCAGAATCTATGCTTGACGCCGTCCGCACGTTCGTTCGCTAGTTTCCGACGCGCTTTTACCTATTGCTGTTATCATATGTTTTTCTGTGCTTATTCTTCTTCTGTGCTTGTATATCTATCTGCTGTTCTCTGTACTCCTTCTATCTGTGTCTGTGCTAAGTAAATGTGCTGTGACTGTCAAGTGTTGGACTTCTTATTTAACCGCCTTCATACAGCTAAGTACCTAGCATAAGACTATTATCGTAGCGTCTATAAAACAACCTCAACGCTAAAGTCGTGTGTTTTATTTATTTATTTATTATAGACTATTTATTTGCATTTAAAAATGCTCTCATATGTTGTTTCTCCTAATGCACTAAACCGCAGTTAATTTTCATAATGGCATCGTTTCCTTTAGTCTAGGGTCACCTGATAGAGATAAGGTAGCAACCTTAACAATAAGGCCGCTTTTTGTGTTACTGTATCTAGGTATTTTAATGTTCTTTTTAATGTATTTCATAGTGCAATAAAGAATATTCATTCATTCATAGCCAACTAATTCACCTGTGTGAATGCTATCATTAATTATTAGGTAATATAACTACAAATTTATTATAAGTGCTTTAATTTATCATTATTCAAATTCCTTGATTTAACCATTGCAAATCAACACAAACATTCAACTTACACAAGGAGTTAACTAATGCGAATATGTTAAAGTATGTATGTTCAACTCTCATTGATGTTAATGATTCATTAATCTATTCCTTTTACGGAGCAATTAAGCTACCTAATATAGGAAATTGACAATTAACTTTAATAAAAAAAAACTACATTTCTAATTTAGTGTAATTATTAATTTTCAAGTTTCAAGTGGTAAAAAAACAACTCTATTAAGTTTCGATTGCCGTTCCTGACGTCGACTGGTCATATGAGCATAAGTCTAGAATTCAATTGGTTCTTTACTGACATTCAAATTAGTAAACTTCCTTACAATAACAATGATCAGATTGTAAGCATCGTTCGTCAGATGTCTTTGACTTCTTTACATGTTTCCATCTATATGTCGCAGAGTTGATAATAAATTGGACTATTTCAAATGAAATGTTATTCTCGATTTTATTTAACACGGATGCTATTCTCTTTTTTCCAGTTTATAAAGCGTTATATGAAACAACAAAATTAGCTGTGAAAGATCGGAATGTTCACCCCGTTAGAGATACTGGGATGGAATGTGTACCCCCCAAAGTTTCATCAAAACAATCGGGTAAAATTGTTGTGTTTTCTAATAAATTTAGCCAGCGTCTTATACATTGATCAGATTCCAAGATAAGTAACTACCGCCCTCGCATCTAATATCTACATTGACCCAACCGGGAATCCAAACCCGGGGCTTTAACCTAAGCTTGTTTTTCTTTTCGAAATAGCATTGTTTGTAGCAATTGGACATTTTGTAAATTTCGTTTACTTTAATAATTCAGTAAACAAAAACAACCAAAAGCACTAATTAAATATGCAAATAATAAAAAAACTATTAATTTTAAAACAATATCAACAGTTTCATGCGAAATCCCTATAAAGCGTAGGTTATAGCTACGACTACGGCTACGTCCATGAGTTAAGCAGGGTTGCGACCACCTAACTCTCTAGCCATAGGATACGACTTTGATATTAATTTAGTAACGACGAACGAACGACAAAGAATGATTATTATGAATTTGATAGCAGTGTCACCAACTTTGACATTTTTCCAAATTTTGTCCAGCAAACGACATGTCAAAGTAGTAACATGAAACGAAATATTGGCACAACATCGCCACGGGGTCTCAAGTAAAAAGTATTTGTTCTTAAAAACCGCAATAGATGGCGTTACATATATCATTCAATATTTTACGTTTGTGAAAATCCAGTTATAATAACCATTATAATTTCTTAAAGGGAAAAAATCCTAAGATCGGAAAAATGAAATAGAGGGTTACTTAACCTAGTTTTCGTAAAATTACAAGTCGCTGAGATGTCGCATCCTATGACTAGAATCTAGGCTAGAGAGTGAGGCGGACGCTCTGCAGAACCTCATGGATGGCGACAACTTGAAACCGGTGTGATAACCATTCGGCTACGGCTTTATTATTATTATTGAGTTATGAATTGTTTAGAGCGTGTTGCTGCTTCGAAGAATCGTTTAGCGTTTCGTTCCGCGGCCATGGTGACATCACAGTGTGGTCTAAGACCTTCAAAGTGCCATTGCCATCAGGACATTCGGAATAAACAACAAGAACAAGCTCAAGGTACTTTTGTGTCCCACAAGTGAAAATGCAGGTTTTTGTTATATGTTCGGAAAATATGTACCATTATAACTTATAAATATTTCACCAAATAATTTGCACTCTGTAAACTTGAAAAATAGGGAAAATATACAACAAAAAATTGCTACAATACATATGGCATTAAATTACTTAAATATAACGTTACAACTTTCATTATAACAGCTATAAACAAGCGCATTAATAGCAAAGTTATTTTACAAAGATTACCATACGTTTTTCGCTACCATAGCACCGTGTGAAGTCACTTAGTGCATTCAATTTGTAGGGAGCGTTTACGCCCGTCTAGCAGCAGTTCCACAAACATATCTCCAAAACTATTAATCGCAAACATGTTCTTCCTTTCAAATTATTTCTCAAATATCAATGGACTATGTATTTGTAAATATAAAAATAAAAAAAAAAGACAACTAGCTTATTCTATGCTTAGAGGTAGAGAGAGTTACTCTAAAATTTGAAATCACACGTCAAAGGGCTAGCATGAAATTAAACAACTATTATAGACTATGTAATTGGTTGCGACATCTTGAATTAAAAGATATTTGTAACCATCCATAAGGAAGTAAATATCAGCAGAGACGTAAAAGGGCTGATGATTCTAATGATGAAAAGTTATTTGAGACTTTACACTAAGGATAAAAAAAAATCATTGACTATGTGAACTCGGAACCTGTAAAAGGTGGAAAATGTCTATAAAACTAAATACAAACGCGATGAAACCGTTTTTAAGTTGTCTCATTTATGTAAAGTGCGCGTGTAAATATAAGAAATCAGTAAATTCATAAAGCTTTCCTTAGACTTGAAAATTTTACTCACAGAAGGTTTTAGGGACATAAGTTTGTTGATATATTAGCGTCTTATAATTTTAATGAAACATCAAAGTCAAAGTCAAAATAATCTTTATTCAAATAGACTTCTTAAAAGTACTTTTGAATAGTCCAACATTTTTTTCCCTACTCGTTCAGGACGTCTTTTGGCTGATAAGAAGAACGAGCAAGAAACTCACCAGCTCTAATAAGAGTACCTAATGACATTTACAAAAACCATGTCATTACCAGATCAATACATTATAAACAGAGATAGAGGAAAAAAAACTATGGTTTTATAATGATAACAAATTCATTTAATAATAATGGAAATAAGATAATGAGTTAAGAAGTAATTACCTATCCAGTTGCTGGATCATCTCAAGTCCAAGCGTCCTTATCTGTTATATAATCGGATACCTTATAATACTTAAGCTTTTTTTATAGTATTTTTTTAATAACAGATTTAAACTGCAAAATGATATAGCTATATATATTTTAAGCAATAATAACATACATACATATATAAATCCATACCCTTTTTTATCAATGTTTCAGTGGAATATGTATTCGCCTACGATACACCGCAGTCTTCAGATCTAGATGCGAGTCTTAACACCAACTATCACGCCAGAGTGCTGGATATACCATCTTATTGCGAGAAAGGTAAAGTGCAAATTGAATGTTAATACAGGTTTTATTCATCTCATCCATTGTTATCAGCTTAATCTCACTGTTAGTCCTTCCCTATGAACAGAAACAGAAAGGGAGAACAGCTTATAACCAGTGGTCGGAATTAGGTAGAGTTATTCATTTACTTACACTGATTTCATACAGCGAAAGAATAAAGTGGATATGCCTCAAATCCCGAGATTAATTTTAAAGAGCAGAAAAAATCCCGTGATTTTTTAAATAAAAAGTTATTTACTTTTACACAATTTAAACTACTGCACGCACGACGTTGCCAAACTTACATCAATGAAAGAAAGAAATAAAGAAAGACGAAATAAAGAAATCCCGGGAAGGTCCACATTAATATCAACATTTCGATGCAAGTACATAAATAACTCTACCTAATTCCGACCCCTGCTTATAACCCAACACGAGGACCCAGTTTGGACTGATAGATGCTAACGACTACAGATATAGTTGAGACCAACACCTTAATGTGGTCACAGAAAGATCTGTCCTTGTAGACCACGTTTGGAGGTCGACTTAAAATTTTGGTCACCCATCCGATGATCGGCCATTGCGGAGGTTGCTTAACTTTCGCAATCGTAGACCAATACACTATCGAACTCTGCTTTCATTACACTATACACTACATAAAAAGTCTATTTTTAAACTACTGAGTGCCTACAAGTATAGTACATAAAGACTTTAGCCGTGATAGAAATACAATTATAAGGTAGCCAATGACAAAACACCCAAATAAATGCTGAAGAGCTGCGAGAGAAGTATCGTTAGTAAGTAAAAAAGATAAGAATCGTCTACAGCGCATATCAAAAACACAAAAAAAAAACGAATTTTCCATTTATACAACCCGTTTCCGTTAGATGTCGTCGAGGAACATGTGAAGTCTGAACTAATTGGCTCCTGTCGATACTACAGTAATTTACTAACCAAGCACTTTGGATTTCTTAAAGAAAAAGGTTCGTAAGATATTAAAATATACATATAACAATTACTATTACCATATTTTATTTTAAAAAGAAAAAGGTAAAGAAAAAGAAAAGGTTAAAGTAGGATAGAAGACCAGGTTTTGGGAACTACTCCTTTTATTGTCAAATTGAACTTTAAGGCGTTCTAACTAACGCACAGGGAAATATGTTAATTTACCGTGAACGGTTTTCAAAATGTTGTAATGGCAATACTTATACCGTTAACTTTCTCGTAACTCTTAAAATGTCCAAAACCAGGTCATCTACCCTATTTCTTTCGGCTGTTTAGATAATCTTATGTTGACAAAAAACTATTACCAATGAAAATATATACTTACTTTAGTATCTAAGTACATAATTTGGAAATTGCAATCTGTCAGTTTGTGAAAGCCCACTTCATAAAGTAGAGCAATAGCTCCATTAGTGCAAGATTGACGGGTAGCAAGTTCAAATTCTATGAAGAGTCCTTAAGACGTTATTTTTTTTAGTGTTTCATTGAAATACTATTATAGAGCTCAATCTTTACTAATATTATAAAGAGGAAAGATTTCACTGTTTGTTTGCAATGAATAGGCTCTCAAAATAATCGAGCTATTTTAAAAATTCTTTCACATAAGTGAAAGTAATATATCCAGCTAACGTAGCATGACAAACTCGAGAAACGCTTTGTCTACACTCATTTGTCAGTTTCTCGGGTCGAGAGTGAGATATCGTATGGGCGCACCCGAGAAAAGTGACATTTGAGTGTAGACAAAACGTTCTCGCGTTCGTCATGCTACGCGTGCAGGTCTTGATATGAATCGATATCCAAACAAATAGTAAACGCGGGCGAGGTCGCTGGCGTAAAGCTAGTATTCAATAAATATTAAACAATGTTACCTACCTATCATTGCTCAGATTATCGAGTATCTGAGACAACGACCATACCATAACACCCAGACCCGGGGCAATATAGAAAAAACCTGGGACCTCGGAGATGGCTAAACCGCCGTGCGAACCACTCTCCCATCAATCCCCAACTTTTCCCCGACGCCATTATTACGCTAACGCCAACAATTTGCTTTCAGAAGCGAATCACTGTATGCCGAACACCGACCAATGTCTTTATCTATCATCAACAACAAAACCAGTGTCGTGCACAGAGGCCTGCACTATGAAGCCCAGCGGTCGCAACGAGAGCGGCTGTCAAACGTACAAGAACCAGAAAACTATCAGCTACGTTAAACGAGAACCGACCAAGCCTTTCTCGTGTTGTGCTTTGACCCCAAGTCTTACTAGCATATGCAGGGACAATGATAAACATCAACTCAAGTCACTATATTACATGCTTTCATCTATAGAGGGCAGGATACGACGTTTGAAGAGAAACATTCCAAATTAATAGTGTTGTGCCGTTTTATTACTCAATCGGCGGTGATATTCTGTTATAAAAACAATTTAGAATTCGATGGTGAGAGATTAAAAAAGATAAAAAGGTTTTATTTCATTGAAGCTCTATTCTGTGACGGTGTTGAGCTCAACGTCGAATTCGAGGTTGCATAGCAGTATCATTGAACATCTGCGCTTGAGTTTTAATCTTATAATGCCTATGGTCGTTCCAAAGTGACTGCAGAAATTTGTATGAATGTAAATCGTTTTTGTGTACGTATATTAGAAGTGTATTTTTCAGAACAATGTAGTTATATCTTTCATGTCATACGTCATGTTCGCGAACCAAAAGTAACAGTTAAAGTGAGATGGTGATATATACTGTTTCACTTTAACAGATGTGTTGTGTGTCACGATGAATTAGGTCGATAATACTGAAATTTAAAAAACTCACAATTTTGTCTGATAATTTTGTAAATAAATTAAAAACACGCTGATTAAATGTGAAGACTTGTGTAAAATGAAAGATGCTATTACGTCTCATGCTGGTTTTATTTCATACGAACCTTATTACTTTAATATATTTTGAAAATCACTAAGGTATGAAATCTATTGTCCGAATGGTAAGTGCAATTAGCATGAAATTAATCGACTGTCACCCGGTTTCATGAGTATTTAAAGTTAAACACATCTCATTCTGTATTTCTTATTCTTCTTCTTTTATTAATGGCTTATCTGCGAATTTCGCACAATTCCGCCAATGTCATGTGAATAAATTAATTTCCAAACGAAATGAATTAAAGATGGAACTTCACTTAAACTGGTTTTCGGTTCTGATTTTAGTTTTTCTAAACAATCATTTGATAGTATTTTGATAGAAACAAGGACTCTGCCTTGTGAAGAGACAACGTTAAACAAAAAATTGTACTCTCTTGTATTGTACAATACAATGTATTCGTTTATCTTACCACATCTAAGAAAGCACCGACTGTAATTTCTGTCGTAACAGGTTCTCATTGGGCATTTTGGATAACAATATCTCGTAGAACATATGCCTGCATCTCACTCTCGACCCGAGAAACTGACAAATTAGTGTAGACAAAACGTTCTCGAGTTCGTCATGCTACTCGTGCTGGTCTCGCAGTTTTGGTGCTTTCAAGTCGTGTGTACAAATACAATTCAAGCGGTTTAATATGTCATGCCTAATATTTAAAAAAACTTATCCCTACTGGTAGCGATAAATGGAAATAAAAATCCAAGTATCCCAACCAGCGGAAATCGGTGGAGATATGTGGACTAACCGATTACATATATCCCTACCGGTAGCTATAATTGGAAAAAAAGTCCTAGTATCCTTATCAGTGGGGCTTTGTCAGTAGGGATATGTGGAATAGGGGGTGAGGTCTTGTACTTTTCTCATTTCGGAAACCAGCCGTGTGAATCCAATTCACATCAAGAACAAATGTCGGTTTTATTTGCAATGCCACTTTATAAAGGACACTTCTATGATTTCATTCATAAATTAATAAACCTTTAATGTCATTACACAACGAATCAATGTTGGTTAATGACCAGTGGTCGAAATTAGGTAGAGTCATTCATGTACTTACACTGATTTCATACAGCGAAAGAATAAAGTGCATATGCCTCAAATCCCGAGATTAATTTTAAAGAGCAGAAAAAAATCCCGTGATTTTTTAAATAAAAAGTTATTTACTTTTACACAATTTAAACTACTGCACGCATGACGTTGCCAAACTTACATCAATGACATCGGATGTCCAAAGTTGCGAAATACCAATACGCGCGATGTTGCCACGAAGGTCCACATTAATATCAACATTTCGATGCAAGTACATAAATAACTCTACCTAATTCCGACCTCTGTTAATGACGCACGATACGATAATTGGTTAAATGCTTTATTCAATATTGTAACCATAAAGTGTGTAATGCGCTCCACATTCAATACAATATTGAACGTCGAGTGTATTTTTATTTAATTCGATTTCAATAAAAGCAATCATTCAGTCGCATTTGCAAGTCTAAATTACTAGCAAATGGGAATTGAAAATTATCAACCAAATTGAATTTTATCGTCAATGGAATACTGTCGTTAATGTATTATCAAATAGTAACCGTTGTAGAACCGGTTGCAACTGTGCGGTGTGTAATTTACGTCAGTGATGAAATTGGTTTCATTATCTGCGTACAGATTGAATTTTATCCCTTATGAACTACTTAAAGATCAATTAAGAATAAATCAAAAACATTTGCAGACGCAGATGTGTCGTTTACGTCATATCGCAAATGAAAGCTATCTATGCTTCCTTAATCTTATTGTCATAAAGTTGAAAGTCGTATTATAAACGCACATAACGAAACGAACCAATAAAGTCTGATTGCAATTTAATATTGTTCAAGTGTGTGCGTCGTTTTAATTTATTAGAAACAACGTTTCTAAACGTATGTGTTTCTTATTCAAATAGAAATCAAAATATCACGCATTTGCGCAATATAACCCTGCAATGTAACGAAAAAAGAAAAGATTGAATATATTAAGTCTTTTAATATTTACCAGCAATTATGAGACATTAATATTATTGCATAGTGATAGTTCGAGTGGAAACTATTTATTTTATTACTCTTACAAGGAAACAAAAAGTATATATTGATTTTTGAAAAAAAAATTGGGTTCTGACTATAGATATAATTAATTGGCAGTAAACTTGAAAAAATAAGGCACTTTCACACACTTTCACTTTCATTCATAAAGCCTTACTATTAAGCAATGTGCTCGTATGTTGGTTAATTATATATTGTACTGGCCTTTTCACTCAAACCGCATGTTACATTAGAATGACCTGAAAAGCAACAGTTTTAAAATGCTTATTAGTAAGGGTATGAATTCACAAACGATTCATTTGTTATATTAAATATAATTTATGAAATTTCAGGAAAGTGCATGATTGTTCGCCATTTTGATAAGATATATTTAGAATGGCCGCTTACCAAGCGGCTTTTTAATTTAATGAATTTATTGTAAATTGCTTAGTTGATGTTTTATTTACTACCAAAAAAAATCTGTTTATTTGCAAAATCGAAACATTAATAATTTCAACGAATGACAAATCACTGAAATAAAAACAAAATGCTTTATAAAGATCGGCAGCACAGTACGTGCTCATGACTCATAATCATATACAGGTTGGATTTTTTAGAAACGGGACATAAGGGCGGGTACCTTGGCCGTTATAGTTACCCAAAAACATTCCTAGGAGACCATTAATAACTTTTTAAGATATCCTGAACTTCATTCAAAGATTTTTAATACAATCAGCAACCTGACAGCGAGATACCTGCTCTTAATATTCCATCTCAAAAACTCACTCTGTATATGAAATTCCAATAACAATAAGCTAGATATTCTACAGCCCTGTATTATTAGCACATTATTTACAAAACACATATCGATCGATAAAACATATAATATACAATCATATTTATATATTATTGCATTTAATATTATACGTAATTCCGTTGCTTAGTCCATTTATTGCTCTTAAAATATTTCCTCCGGGGACAAAACATAATAATAAAATGTGAAAACGTATGTGTAATGTCTATTGCCATCGGTATTAAAAGAAGATGAAAGAAATAGTTTTTATAACATTTTTGACCCAAGGGCGTTTGAATAGAATAGTAGCAATAGTAAATAGTATTACTTGAACATACCGATATTTTTATTATCAATGCACGATATCTTTAATATCAGTATAGTATCATTAATAGAACACATTTTCGAAGAAAAATAATGTTTTAAATGTAGGTGTATTATAAGTTTGTTGACAAATTGAGGCAAAAATAAAGAAAATATTCTAATATTGCCTTAACGAAAACAATATTAAATTATGGATTTTTTTATCATTATTTCAAAATTAATTTGTCTCGGGGTAAAAACTTCAAGAGCAATTAATGGACTAAATACATTTTGCTGAAATCACTGTACCAAAAAATTATTCGTGCATATTATTGATAACATAATTATTAAAACCATAAGTACTGTACAAGAAATAAAAATATAAATTCAGTCAACATAGCTTAGTAATACATTAACAGGTTGATATAATTCTTAATAATATATCTATATGTTATTACAGTAGAACCATACTTATAAGTTACATCGACGTACCCGCGCAGAAGTTCAATTTTTTAAAAGCTCCTATATTTTTTAGCCAATCGTAAAGTTCTGTGTTCGCGCGCAATTCTTGCTCGTTTCCTATTGGTTGATGCATGCCCGCCATGTTTCACAGCAGTCGCTAGTAATAAAACGATGGTAAGCCTTAACGTAACGCATTAAAGTCGATATTTTCAAGGTTAGCTTGCTTCTTTCTGCGCTAATGAATTTTGTCAATGATACTTATAAATAATGGTACCGTATCACCTATTCACAATTTATTTAGTACAAACAACAGCATATCAAGTTACCACAACAACATATCGAGTATCTGCAATCGATCGATTTAAATCTAGCGGGGGAATTTACCTGAATTCAATAACCTCATATGCTGGTGGCGTAATAAATATTCTCAGATTTATTACTTAATCATTCCACCTTTTATCAACCACCCTGTATCTTACATTTTATACCCGCGTTATTATAAAAATCTATATAACCATTTCCTGTTTGTTACGTCAAATGAATTATAGAGTAAGCTAGACAAAATAATAGTGAACGAAAATTAAAAATTTATTGATCTATAATGTACACATACGAACCCACAAAGATTTTCTTACAATTTTTTATCATTTAAATATATGCTTTAGTGATAGTATTAATTTTGTCTTATCAACACTTCCTTTTCGTAATGTTACTTTCAATAGTGGTTCTATCTACATAAGCTTCTCTTGTTTAAGCATCTTAATATGACCAATAAAATCGATATTTTCAATTCAATCAAAAGCTTTCGATTCTAGTGTTTAGTTTTATATCTTTAGAATTGGAATGTAAAGTACAATAATGTATCTTTAAAAATATTTCAAAGATACACCACTCACTGGTACCCTTGTTGCAATGATCTGAAGCATGTAGGGCCGGTGTATATCATAAATATTTCTCTTAAGATAAATATCAAAAATGCATAGAAAATGCAAATTTCATTAATTAATGATTTGACAACAAATGAATACACAAACCAGTTGTAAAAATCCCAAGTTTCATTTAAGGTGATCGTAGACCGTTTCGAACACTAATGTTTCTCTAGATAGCAATATAACTTTCCTTTTTTTAACCTTATAGAAAAATAACAGAATAAAATACCAATCAGTATTTAAACATAGTCAAAATAAGTAACGGTAAATAGAAATTAATTACCCTTACTGTTAATTTCCGTACACCTATATAATCTTCCAATCTTCAAAATTTGGCACAGTATCACAAACATTTCCCGTTCGCGTTCTCTTATATTTTCATACCTGAAAACGAGAATTGAATTGTTTAGAAAAACAATCGTGAAATTAAACAGAAAACACATACAACACATATACCATAAATAACTCATAAGGTTCAATTGATGACATTCGAATTAATTTTGATTATATTTTTTTAATTAATATATGTTTTTTTGTGCGAGGTACCACTACTCAATAGTGAGATGTAACAGGCATAGGAATTGAAAACTAAGTACCGTTTATACTAGGGGACACTAAAACTACGCAATCTACTCAACCCAGTATCATGACTTTTTTATTTTTAGATTACTTAACCATTAGAAAGTTAGAAATTATTTCCTTTCCACGTCTTAAAACTATTTTCATATTATTCTTTCACTATTAAACCGTTTAATTCATTTCATATGTATACATTTTTTTATTTTTATTTATTTTTATATATTAACGCCATGTATTTATTTATCCTTCTCGATATTGCACCCACTCCCCATAGTATCTTTATTTTTTATCCATTTTCACCATAGGTTGCCTGGAAGAAATTGCTGTTCAGCAATAAGGCCGCCATTTGTTTACTTAATCTCTTAGATAATAAGCTTTTTGTAAACTATGTATCATATTGAGTGCAATAAAGTATTTTATTATTATTATTAATGAGCAATAATAAGAAAAAATAATTAAGAATCAGTAATAAAAATTAAAAACGCGATTCTTTTTGTCCACCACTATATTTAACGAGGATGTATAAAAAAAAAGCACTAAAAAGCACCTCCACTAGCAAAAGTTGATTTTTGCAGGAAACGAATGGACCAAAGACAGTCATTCCCGTTCCTTTTAACTAACATATTAAAAAACTGATATTTGCAAAGTTCGACACTTAGAGAACAATACAAATACGAAAAAGTACAAATACTCGTAGAATATGAGTTGTTTATTGAGTTTTGAAAACTTATTTACTTTTATACATGAAAGAAAACCGGATTAAGTTGTCCTCTTGTCAAGAACGTACTGTAGCGACATCTAGTTTGATTTCAGGAACTAATGTTTTTTTTTAATACTTCCTTATTCTAGAATACGATATCAAAAGCATGTCCCTAGGCAAATCGTTGCCATATAACTGTCACCATCTTAAGGACTATGCATATGCAAAACTCGGGTAGATGGCAGCACTAACATATGTAGTAAACAAACAAACAATTTCGACACTTGCCTGTTAGAAATTAATGATGCCGCAACGAAGTATTATTGGATAAATAAATTAGTAATAAATTTTTTGAAATATTATATTCATAATGTGCTCATATATATATATGAGCAAATACAAATTTAACTTTCATTAGAGATTTAAAGAGTCATTAAACCTTAATAAACGTTTGTGCAACTGGCTGTATATCTCAAAAATTATCTTGTTGCCAAGGTCGTGGTTCGAACTGACTACCTTTCGCAATCCAGACGCCTGCTGTAACCACTAACAATAAACAAGTGCTTGAAAGATTCACCAGTCCTGTCAGCTCCTGGCTAGCTCAGTTGTTAAAGCAATCGCTCGGATCGCCAAAGATCGTGGCTTCGAATCCCATACCAGGGACAAAGTGGTTTTTTAAACATATTTCATCAAGAATGCATGATTTTAGTGCACCGAGCCTAGAACCTTTTCTCAACTGCTGCACACAGGTATATTTCTGCTTCTTGTTCCTCTTTGTTTCTTTTGTGTGATGTAATAGTTATTTAAGATACGAGTGCGGAAAGTAAGCTTTTACGAATAAGGGCCAAATTGAAAACACGAGCGTAGCGAGGGTTCTTATTGGCACGAATTCGAAAAACCTTTACGCTCAAGTTTCTTACAATATTTTTCAATGTAAAAGCATTGAAAAATATTGTAAGAAACTTGAGCGAGGAAATAAACAAATATATAGGTTAACAAAACTAAGTATGTATTAAAGGTAAACATTATTTGTTAAAATTAAACGTGATATTTGAACATGTTTTCGTGTCATACATTTTTATTTGAAAATATTCGTTCTAGGCTCCTTAAAATACTTTTGCCTCTAAAGTTTGACATATTTTCATCAATTTTTTTTTAATTTCTTTGGTGCTCGGCCAAAAAAAATTAAAAAAATACTTTTAAGCACGTGTGCAGTAAAGGATTTCAGTACATTTTTATTTAACACGTGTTTAAAGACTCACTTTCGGTGTTTACAATGGATTAAAGAAATAGCGCTTTATGAGCAACTGCATTGAAAGGGGCTGTCCATTAATCACGTGAGGCTCGAAAGGGGGGGGAGGGGTCCATAAAAAAGTCACGAAATATATATAGGTTGGGGGGGGGGTAGTCTTAAACCTCACCATGTATCACTATGGGGGAGGGGAGGTTAATGGACGGCCCCAAAAGTGATGTAATTATGTGTTGCTGAGAAATAAACTTTTTATCTATTTATCTAAGAATATTTTCCAACTAGTGTTATTATAAAAGAAAAAGTTCTGACCGTTTGCAGTGTCCTAGGTGTGAACACGTGCACGAGCGAGTCCCACCCGCAGTCGGCGAGCTGGTGCGGCCGCAGCGTGTTCCAGTCCAGGCCGTACGTGAACTCGGAGTGGTGTCGTATGGTCTCCAGAGGCTCGCAGCCGCGCTTCAGGTCCCACAGCCTGTTTATAATGTTAATTTGTTTATTTGAACTTTTTTTGCAGACAGTACTTATGGGGGACTAGTAATACTAGACTAGATAAACTAAGAGGCGGTGCGGAAAGATCAAATGAAAATAGATATAAAATCAGTTTATGTCTAACTACAATATAATATCATATATATAAACATTTTTAAATAAGTAAATATATATAAATATATACACAGATAAATAAATAAGTATACATATATAACTAAATGATACATAATCATCAGCCCTTTTACGTCTTCACTGCAGGGGCTCAGGCCTTCCTTATGGATGGTTAAAGAGGATGAGCCATGACTCTCCACATAAACTAGTTATTAATCATAAAATACGTTAATTTAAAAATCATAATGCACTGTTAGTAGAGTTCGAAATCAATCCATTAAATATATCCACGTGTACTGCACATCAAGTTCATCAAGTACCAGAATATGTCAAATTTATCTAGTTGGTTTTTAAACTACTCTCAGTAATTAAACTTTAAAATAGAGTTGTGAAGACAGATTTGAATAAACTGATATGCTGTTGTCTGGAAAGATTTTCAACCTCGATGTTATATTCGCAATGTAATACACGTATAAAAATTAGTAATCCGCCATTTTGTGGCAGCAGACAATCATATACCGTCTAGTGAGAGAAGAAGAGAGAAACTAAAAAACACATTTCGGTGATTCCACACTTAGTTATTATAAGCAAGACGTTTGCACTTTCTGCAAATAAATACACTTGAACAAACGTAAACAAATATTTAACAAACCTTGGAACTACCATCAGCAATCACTCCGTTAGTTTGCACTGATGATTACAAGATCTGTTGCTGTATGAGTATTTATTTGCGGACAGTGCACGTTTTTTTTTTTATGGGATAGGGGGCAGACGAGCAGACGAATCACCTGATGGTAAGTGATTACCGTCGCCCATGGACACCTGCAACACCTGAGGGGCTACAAGCGCGGTGCCGGTCTTTGAGGGACGAATATGATCATAGGGAGGGAAGGGTTTAGGGGTAGAGGGGAGGGAATAGGGAGGGGTTGGGCCTCCGGTACCCTCACTCACACGACGAAACACAACACAAGCGTTGCTTCACGTCGGTTTTCTGTGAGGCCGTGGTATCACTCCGGTCGAGCCGGCCCATTCATGCCGTCAGTTGTCATAATTGCTCACCATTTTAGTTTTATATTAATTCTAATTATCAACGAAAAGAAGTTGATTATATTTACCTAGTAGTAAAATCGTATGACACAGCAGCTATTACAGATGGCGCGTGTGGCGAGAATTGAACTCTTCGTACTGCACACTCGCAACCTTGAACGATAAAATGGTAAAATTAAATTATGTCATAAACAGTTAGAGGGAAAATTTCCACTACTATATAAGCATTAATATTTATTGATTGCATTAGCATATACGTATTGTGACGTTGCAGAATATTCCAGATACAAAATATCGATTATCGATAAGTGATTAATCGATTGACTGTATGCGACAGGATATTCTTTTTATTTAAAATGAATAAAGTCGTTCCTGTTTGTCAGCTGCCCCGTCCCTTTGGCATTGACATTTGATTGATTTCGCATCAATATACTGCCCGGTTGTCAATATTGGATGTACATACATTGTAATTTTAAATTTATCAATTAGGTACTTGACTGTTTTAAAAAAGTATTTTAATACTTTCATAATGATAGTGATTAACAACTACAAGATTTATTTTTGTCCAAAAGTGTTATTAAATAAAGGAAATAGATATTCCTTATAAATTAATTTAAATTGCACAGCGAAAACATTAAATTACGTGACACTTAAGAGCCGTGACGTCACATTTCAATAAACACGAGTACTGGTTATACTCGCAAGCTCGCTACAAAGATGTTGACGTTTAGGTCATTGAAATGTGACGTCACGTGTGGCTCCGTCATGGCCACCCGCGTTTTGGTTCTTGTAACTCACAGAAGATAAATTCCAAGTAAAAATAAGCTATCTTCAACACCAGTCTATTAATATGTCCCCATGACAGCAGCTCAGGCCTTCCTCATAGATAGAATCGAATCAATTGAAAGTAAACGACACAAGTCAGCAACAAAATCATGAATATGACAGCATCTAACCTTTCAATGTGAACATAGGAGTTGTGAGCCTTCTCAAGTCCCACCCCCGTACCAAGCCATCGGAGCCAGCTGTCGCTAGCGCGTGCGAGTCACTTCTACTCCAATCACAGGACAGCACCTGAAATTGGAACAAAGTTCATAGGTGCAAGTTCTTTGAAGTTCATTTACTGGTTGCCATTTTCTTTACAGTAAATAAATAAATTATTTACTTTTTCTGGCAAACAAAAATATTAAAAAACATTACTGTCAAAATCGAACTAAAAATAAAAGAAACAAGTTGTATTATGGATTGGCTAAACAAAATGGATTGCAGTCAGGGTACCTCTCAAATGACCAATTTTTTTTCGAAGCCATAGACAATTAATAAAACATAGTTTTATTTTTACTAGTTACTTATTATTATTTAAATGGCGCCATACATCCGCAATATTGAACATTTAAAAACTATATTAGCCAGTGTTACTCGGGATGATATAAGGTGTCTAATGATACCCTATACATTTATATCCGTTATGTATTTTAAAACTTAAATAAATACATACTTAGATTCATTAAGCCTAAACATATTACACTCTTTTTTGGGCAGACTTGTAATATTCTTATATAGAACTTCCACATAAGACAGTCGGTATATAAGCTTCGCTTTATGGGACCATCTCAGGCCATTAACTTATAGAAAAAAAAAACTTAAAAGAGTAAACTAGTCATCGAGTCTATAAATCGGAGGAGGTATTTAATCATTTGAAGTTATCTTACGATGTTACTACATATTATAAAAAAGTCAAAGTCTGTCTGTCTGATTGTTCGCGAAAAATTCGAAAAGTACTGGACGAATTTTCATACAGTGATCCATGAGCAAGGTTTTTAGTGTATAATAACAATATTACCACCATATTAGTTCAACATGTCAGAAAAAAAATTAAGCCGACTCGGGAGCTTCCCTCGATTGCCTTTTACACTATATGAAAATAAAACGAATATTACCTGCTTATGAGCTTAAGTATAGTTAAATTTTAACTTGCTATATATTACTTATTTGTGTGTTTACACATATTTTAAAAGATTTACTTAAGTAGAAGTTAAAATCTAGTAAGTAGATTTTTATATACAGTACGTGTTAACCAGCCATTATGGTTAGCAAAATTTTGAATTTAATTTCAAGTGACTTTATTTTATTATGACCAGTTTACATGCATTAAGTTGATAACTAAATCGTTAATTTAATTTGTAAGTAACTCAATTTTATAATGGTTGATTTGCACGTATTAAGTTGACAACTTTATTTTAACTTTTAATGAGGAAATATTAAAAAAAATATTTCCCGAAATCAAACTAGATGTCGCTATGGTAATTTCTTAATTTCTCCATGACAACCCTTCCGGTTTTCTTTCATGTTTAAAAGTAAATTAATTTTAAAACTCAATAAACAACTCATTCTATTTGTACTAATTTGTATTATTATCTTAGTTTCAAACTTTGCAAATTTCATTTTTTTTATATGTTCGTTAAAACGAACGGAAATGACTATATTTGATCTATTCGTTTCCTGCAAAAATAAACTTTTTGTAGAGTCGCCATCTAGTGAGGTATTTTTTTTCTTAAAATACTTCCTCATTGTTTTTATAGCACATATGTGACTTGCTACTTGTTTGATTATTATACCACTGATTTGTGAATTTACACGTACTTAATAACAAGTCAACAATTTAGTTAACTACTAATCAACTTAATAACGTGTGAACGAGCCATGAACAGTTACCTCCGCGTCGTGCGCTTTGACCTGAGCGGCGGGGCGGGCGGGGTCCGCGCACGTCCACAGCTTGAGGTGCCCGTCCCCCGACACTGAGGCGAGCGACGCGCCCGAGTGCGGCGAGAACGATGCGCGGTACACTAGCTGCGAGTGGCCCGAGAACGTGCTCACGCAACACTCCGCCTCCGGGTCCCACTGGACCGAGCACAATAGACGTTACAATCAGTGCGGACACAACATGAATATAACACCAGCCAGAAAAAAAATCCAGACCTCGAATTCACTCAGGTGTCCGAATCGTGTGTAAAAATTCTGTTGATTCCACTTTTTCTATATAATACAAAACAAATTTGATTGAATATACGTGTCTCAGATATTCTATTCCTATGTCATTTCGAAACTGACTCCACTTATGCCACAAATCGTCATTACCAATTCAAAGTTGAGCGGATGTCGCTTTTTTAAGTTAATTCGGACGCCTGAGTGAATTCGAATGCAGGTTTGGATTTTTACAAAATCGTAGTGCAGATGGCTTATTATACTTGTTCGAAAAATTCGGATTTATAAAGATCGTGCATTGATTTATAAAGATTCGCAATAATCGCATCTCAATAGAATCTCAACTACTTGCATTTTGCCATTGAACTATCTCCATTATAAATAAATAAATAATCTCAGTTTAGCTCGACGGCGTAGTGGCTAAGCGCCTCTGGCCTGCGATTGTTCTTGTTAAGCAACTTTCGCAATGGCAGCGTGAAGCCACCCTCCCTACTCATATTTGTTGAAATGTGACGTCACAGCTCAATATATCGAAATATTTGAAATTAATTGCTAATTCAAGTAAGTCACGAAGTAACGTTACGCCTTGCTACCGTAGTAAAAAACGCACGGGCGTCTGGTCCATCTTAGTAATATCTTTGTTATTTGTGCGTTCATGTTTATAGTTGTTATACTGAAAGTTGTTACATTTTATGTTACTAATTTAATGCTCACATTTACTTTAGCAAAATTGAGTAATACATTTTCCCTCTTTACTTCAAGTTTCAAAATATTCCAATAAATTAATTAAAATGAATATACCATTTTGACGGTGGTATCCCAGCTGGCACTGAGCAGGTGTCCCCTCGGCCAGTCGACGGAGCACACCTCGGCGTCGTGCGCGCGCAGCACACGCAGCGGCGCCGCGCACCCCACCCCCCACACCACCACCGCGCCGTCCCCCGCGCCGCACGCCGCCGCCCCCGCTCCCAATCCCGACCACGACTGAGGACAACGGACAAACACTCGAAACTATGTACGAAAACGGCTTATTCAAATTCTCCCGCTCCCAAACCCGACCACGTCTGGTAACAACGACCAATCATACTTGAAAACTATGTACGAATTTACATGACACCTAAAGGCCTGTTCGATTTCTCCAAAACCAGAATTTAGCAGGATAAAACACTGCCTCTGATGCCCAGATGTATGAGATAATCTTCACGGATGTTATTTTAACAAAATTACAAAAACTGTTCGAAATTTTCGTATTTTCGTTTGAGAACAAATAGAAAGGCGTGTCGTGTTAATTCCTACGAGTTGTTTATTTGTTTGAGCAAACGAGAAGCAATAAATAGAAGTAAACCTGCATTGTATAAATATAGACACTGAAGTATCTATTAATTAGAAACTAAGTTATAGCCTATTTAAATGTAAAAGTAGATGGCGACACAATTTTCATAACAATAATAAAAAAATAAATCATTATTAAATAAATATTAAAAGAAATGCCGTATTAAAAAAAAAAAACATTTAATGCTAGGTTTGAGACAAATGATTCAAAGTAACTAGCGATATCTACTTTCATTTCGAGATCTACTTTCTTGATCTTAAGCTTTTCCTCATTCCACCACCAGCCCTTTTACGTCCCCACTGCAGGGGCTCAGGCCTTCCTTATGGATGGTTAAGGAGGATGGGCCATGACCCTCCACGCTGGCCCAATGCGGATTGGAGGGTATTAACGACTGCAAACGCAGCCGGGACCAACGGCTTAACGTGCCTTCCGAAGCACGAAGTAGCTCGAGATAATAATTTTTTGGTCACCCATCCCGTGACCGACCCTAGCGAAAGTTGCTTAACGACTACGATCGCGGGCCGCGGCGCTTATCCACTACGCCACCGAGCTACTTATTTCCTCATTATATTCTTGGAATTTAGGAAATTTAATAAATAAGGCATTTTATACAGAACTCATTTATTATGACACCAATCAATATGCAATGACAGAGAATGCAGTAATCAAGCACAGTAGTGCTGAGTTTGGGCACGGCGGCCACAACTACGCCTTTCTATCTTGATTCACTTCTGTGCCGAGACCAATCCGATCATTTGCCAACAAATAACAATTAGAAATCATTTTTACTATGACATCAGTAGGTATTATTACGTTTCTTTAAATTGCAAAATAATATATTCTGTCATAAATGAGTAATGATACTTCATGTATCAAAAAGACATTTATTTAACCTGAGTTATGAATATATCTAGTAAGTATATTAATTCTGTGCCGTTAGTTGCCCCTGTAGGGGGAATCTTCGAGGGAAACTCTTTCACCTGCGGGAAGCTACATCATACGCGGGTGACAAAGGCTATAAAGTTACGCGGGCATATTCCCAGTAACAGGTCGTAATCCTTATAGAAACAGAGAAAAAATTTAATATTTTCCTTTTCCTTTGTTCTGAATATCCAGATTAATATTAAGTATTTAAATATACTTTTTGGTATCAGTTTTATTTGCTGATGACACCTCTTTAGTGTTTAAAGTTAAGAGGGGTAATGATTGTTTTGACGATGTAAATGATGCTCTCGACAAGGTTCTACAGTAGTTTGATAGTAATGATTTAAAGCTTAATTCAAATAAAACAAAATGCATAAAGTTTGCTTTACCTGATGTGAGGCATGTTAATACACTTATAAATGTAAATAGTGAAAAAGTTGAGTTGGTGGAATCGACAAAGTTCCTTGGTATTACACTAGATTCCCGACTGCAATGGGATCCTCATATTGATAATTTGTCAAGTAGACTGAGTTCTGCAGCATTTGCTGTTAAGAAAATTAGACTCTTGACAAATGTTGAAACAGCAAGATTTGTATATTTTAGTTATTTTCATAGTGTAATGACGTATGGTCTATTGTTGTGGGGTTCTGCGGCTAGCATTCAAGATATTTTTATTTTACAAAAGAGAGCTGCCCGCGCTATATATAATTTACGGTCTAGAGAATCTCTCAGAGAAATATTTAAAGAAATAAATATTTTAACTGTTGCCTCTCACTACATCTATGAAAATATTATGTACGCAAGAAAACATTACGATTCCTTCATAATCTTAACACAAGAAATAAAAATAAACTTGCCGTTCCAAGCTTCAGACTTCACAAAACCAGAGAATCATTTCTGGGTAAATGCATTGCTATGTTCAATAAAGTTCCACAAAATGTAGTTGACCTACCCATAAATAAATTTAAAATTCATGTAAAGAACATACTTATGAGTAAAGGCTATTATAAAGTTGATGGTTGTTTCAAGGATCGCAATGCATGGAATTAATAGCATTTCGCTTTGTTCTATAAAAACTAATTATATGTTCAACCATGTCCTATAGACTTTGAAAGTTGTATTTATTATTGTGATAATACATATTATTTTGGTAATGACATGATTTATGTAAATGTCATTACTTATGATAAAAAGCTGGTAAGTTTCTTTCGCTTGTTCTTCTTGTCAGCTAAAAGACGTCCTGAAAAAGTGGTAGGGGAAAAAAATTCAAAACTATTCAAAAGCTTGTAATAGCCTACTCGAATAAAGATATTTTCATTTGCTAGACATGGACGCCGCGCCGTGAAGTGACGGTACAAACACATATTTGTTCGCGGTTTACAGTACTACTTCAAAATAACAAACAATCAGAATTCAGTATCTGTAAGCACCAGCAGTTCTTAATATTGAATAAACTGTTTAAAAAACATCACATAGCATAGCTGATATCCCAGCTGATAGAAAAAAATGCTTTTGATCAAGAATACTGGCGATCTTGAAGATGAAGATCCGTCATATTTCTGGACAGAGAAGAATTGTCTTGCATACCGACCATCCTAAGACCCGTAACAGTCGACCCTTAACAGGGTCCCAAAGTGGGGTTAGATCCGGATAGCTCCTTGCAGAATCCCGAAATCTTCCACCCTCCCCAAGTGAGGTCAATTTGAAAAACAAAAAATATTTTCTGTTACTAGGATGGTAAACTCTGGATTTATTCTTTAAGAAGAAAATAACCGCCGCCGCCGCCGAACCATAGTCTTCAGCACGGCGCCCATGTCTAAATGATACCTATATTGACAAAAAAAATATTCCCATACTTTCCAACACTATACCTGCCTACCAACTAATAACGTCACAATAGCATGATCATAACACTAATTGTTATTACTAATTTATTAATAGTGACTGAACTTAATTCAGTATAATGGTATGGTAAATAATCAATTGAAGATATTTTCTAGCTCTATATAGCTTATTGTGCAAATATAACCTATCCAGTTTAGAAAATAATAATAAAATTAAACAGGGTCAAATAATAAGTAAATTAAAAATATATATATATTCTAATGTCTGATATGTAAAATATGGCAAGGTTAAAAAGAAGAATGGTATATGCATTTTTAATATAAAAATGGTCTAGATGTTTGATTGAATATATATGATTGAAATATTATATTTGACTGCATCCATCTATAATATAATATTAATATTTATTTTAATAAAATAATTGGCACATTTCATATCATACAATCATGGTGAAATACAGAATTCAATATTACACAAATTACTATTGATCATAATAATTTTCAAAATAGTTACATACATAAGCATTTGATAAAGCAAACAGCCTGTTCATAGTAATTATAATTAAAGCTAAAAATCAGACGACAATGTTGTGAACTTAAGTCAATTGTCTATAAATATACTCAGTATCCTATTAAGCAAACTGTAAGAAGTTCACAAACGTAACTGCTGATATAGGGCTTCAACACATGTTGCTAATTAGAGTATAACAACAATTTGAATATGATCATTGGAACTAATGTACATGGCATTGATATAAAAAAAAATTATGCTCAATTAATTTGTTTTGTTATAAATTAATTTGTATAAGCAATAGGGATGATATTTTTGCATAATCAATAAATTATACATTGAGTTAAAATGTTGCGTTACCTAATGCTTTTGTATGATTTCTACAAAGCTGTGTCGTAGTGAACATTTGGCACTCTCCTCCAACAAGAAATGGTTAGGTTAGGTATCAATTTCTTGTTAAATTGAAGCAAACAATGTATCTAATATTTTTTTTATTATCTGACTGTCAAGCTAAAAAGATTTTTTTTTACCCAGTCATCATTAATATTAAACGGTATTTTTAAATTTGAGCACATATGACTAATATCTGTTTTTCCTAAAAAAACTTACCACATCAAACAGTCCATCGGTCCATTCTAACTTTTGAACCTCCACAATTGTGCTGCCATCTGGTGACATTTCCAGAAAGAACAATGTACCGCCTCCTGCCAATCCATAGTACTGACTGGTTGCAACAGCCAACATGTCTGGACGTGTCCGAGAAAACTGTACACTGTAGCCATGTCGGCCTGGAGTGAGGAATGTTGGCATACTGATGGTGTAACTGAAATCATAATATTAAAGGTTATTTTAGATAAGCTTCGACAAATTCAAAGTTACTTTTTGGAATTTCACCAAATCAGCTTCAGCAAATGATTGGAGCTGATCACAAAAACAACATTTGTTGAGCTGGAACCGTTTTTGGACAAATTATTTTTCATCTCCATTGTGACTGTGGTATAATATGTTTTCGTTATCCCAAGTAACAATGTCCCATTAATTTATAACATATTATCTAGTCATTTTAGGGATTGATTCAGAAAAATATTAGTAAGTCACTTGGTTCTACACTATTTTCCTAATTTAAAAAGTACTTCTTTAGTTTGTGATATTATTTTGGTGTTTTTTGATAAGTTCTTTTATGTTATCATTTGGTTTAATAAATTACAATATTATATAAATAATAGTCCATACTATTTACATGTTAAATAATTGTTATTTCTATATAATAAATAAAAGTTAGATCTCATAATCAATTATACCTGTATATTCAGGAAATCTCAGTTCTTAGAAACATTAGTTAATAGAAACATTGAATTCACATTTTCATATGCATGTTTTTAGGGATCAATAGTTACAACACTATAAATATTTTTAAAAATATATGTATCATTGTGTTTTATTGGATCTTGCATTTGCAACAATGTCCTTACATTAATTTTAATTTGAAGTATCTTAAATATATGTAAATATTTATTTTCTTGCAGGAACTAAATATTTACATGTTAATAAAACAACATGCAAATGGGTTCAAGTACATGTAATTTAAATATTTTTAGTATTTTGGTAACTTTGCTAATTTTCTGTAGCAAAATATGACTACAAAGTTCATAATCGTAAATGTCGTTAAAGCCACGTTAAGCTGCTTAACTTTTTAATCTCTTACTCAAGGATAGCAGGTACTACAGGGCAGTTCAAATGAACCACGAATATTTCTTGCGTAAATTAAGAATGTTAGGATAAAGAAAAGAAAATAAGATAATTATTGCAACAACGCATGAATAAAAACATTAAATACCTGTTCTGTTAAAGTCATCTAATATTCCGGCTTTATTACATGACTATTCAAATCTTAATTAATTTCCTTTCAGTATATTCGATAGACTGTTATAAATTTATAAAATAATTTGCAAATCTCCATGAAAACTTGGTATGACAATCTTCCTGTCAATCAGGTCAATGTCAAAAGTAAACAAATAATATTGAACGTCATTATATTGTAGGTAAAACGGAACGTAAAAGCGTAGTGATGTGACATCACATCGATTTAAACGTTACCAATGCGTCATAAAGGTTGCAAATCCTGTTAGTCTACCTACGAACGTAATCTAATTAGATCGTTATTCTAATTCATGAAACCTTACAAGCCACCAATATATAAGAAATAGTTCCTCAAACTATTCATTTCTGGTGAATAGCACCTTACAATCACATTTGAGTCTTTTCTAGAACTCAATACACAAAAACCCCATTATTATTATTTTATTAGTTCCTTTTTAATAAAAACCAGCAAAATGTTGGATTATTTGGCTCTTGCATATGTGGTGGCAGTGAAAGTATTCAAAAAAACTACTCCTAATGGAAAAATAACTGTTTACCTTGGTAAACGTGACTTCATTGATCATATGGATTACTGCGACCCTGTAGATGGTGTTGTCGTGGTGGATACCGAATACCTGAAAGGAAGAAAAGTTTACAGCCAGGTATAAAATGTGCAGTGAACAGTGTCTATAAAACAAATGTGTTGTGAGTGCCTTCTGGATTGATAAAGATATTTTCTGTTACCAGCTTGTGACTACATACCGCTATGGTAGAGAAGAGGATGAAGTGATGGGTGTGAAATTTTCGAAAGAAATGGTAATCGGACAAGAACAAGTTGTACCTCTGATCAATGCGAAAATGGAATTGACGCCAGTGCAAGAAAAGTTATTGAAGAAACTCGGACCTAATGCCTACCCCTTCACGTTTAACTTCCCTGAAATGGCCCCTAGTTCGGTAAAATGATTTTTTAGTAATTTTTAATATATTCTTACGTATGTAAAATTTTTAATATATATAACTTCAATGATTAAAATCTTAGATAACACTCCAACCTGCTGAAGAAGATCAAGGAAAACCTATGGGTGTTGAATATTGCGTCAGGACTTATGTAGCTGAAAACGAAGACCAGAAAAGCCATAAAAGAAGCTCTGTAACTCTTGCTATCAAGAAGGTAAGCAGACCTAAAGTTAGTCTGATAGATAAAAGTGGACTTTTTTTTAATTTTGTTTCATTGCAGTTGCAACACGCTCCAACTTCTCGTGGACGTCGTCTTCCGAGCTCTCTGGTGAGCAAAGGATTTACCTTTAGCAACGGTAAAATTAACTTGGAAGTAACTTTGGATCGAGAAATATACTATCATGGAGAGAAAATCGCAGCTAACATTATTGTTTCCAACAATTCACGGAAATCTGTACGAAATATACGTTGTATGGTAGTACAGCATGTAGAGATTACAATGATCAACTCTCAATTCAGTCGACATGTTGCTTCACTGGAAAGTCGCGAAGGATGCCCTGTAACGCCTGGGGCTAGTCTTTCAAAAACTTTTTATCTGGTGCCTTTGGCTCGCAGTAACAAGGACATTCGAGGTATGTTGAATTAATGAGATTAATATGAAATTAATTTGCAGATTTAAGGAAAATTATACAATGTGTTTCCGAAATTACAGGTGTGGCATTGGATGGTCATTTGAAGGAAGATGACGTCAATCTGGCTAGTTCAACTCTTGTGGCTGAAGGAAAGTGCCCAACCGATGCTATTGGTATCGTTGTATCGTATTCTGTTCGTGTGAAATTGAATTGTGGCACTCTTGGTGGAGAATTGGTTACTGACGTGCCATTTAAATTACTTCATCCCGCAGAAGGTACATAAGTTTAAAAGTAAGCAACAAACGTAACGTTATATTTATCGATCACGTATTGTAACTACTATTTTTTCCAGGTACTGTTGAGCGTCAACGCTTCAATGCCATGAAGAAAATGCAGTCAATTGAAAGACATCGCTATGAGAATTCTCTTTATACCAACGAAGAAGAAGACAACATCGTATTTGAAGACTTTGCTCGCCTTAGAATGAATGAACCCGAATAAACATAAAATTATAAAAACAAAAAAAAGAGAAAAATTTACAAAAAATTTAAAAAGAAATACATCGTAAACAACCAAATCAATATCCATCATTACATATTCTTATATGTTCATTTTATTTCATTGAGTAGTTACGCGAAATCAAATATCATTCGCTTTTAGGCTACAGAATTGCGTAGTAGTGTAAGTTTTTCATACAGTTGAACTAATATCCATTAAGGTTTAATGTCAACTAAAAGCTCTAATGAATGTTCTAATTTTGAATTTTTTTATCGATAATGTCGCTTTAAACTAGTAACAAATTAATGGACGTTTCTGCAACTGGATGTTTATCTATAAAACACTTATCAATTAGGTTTAAAATTGACAGTCATTTAAATAAATATTATTCACTTGAAAGCTTACAAAACGTATGTTAAAGCATTTTAAAACTTACCTTATGTATTTATTATGTTCAAAATATTTTATTAAATTATGTTTCACCACTATGATATTTTTATTAATTTTACTCAATAACACCTCTTGGTCAAATCTCTAGAACGACCTGCACATTACTGACATCGTTAAGTTCAAGATGCAGTAAAGAAAGTCACAAAATTTGCATACACTATTATCCTCAATGATAATAACGCAAGGGTTTTAAACGTAGCTCCGCCCCTTTAATTTTTTGTACTTAGCCCCTATTTTTATCACACTTCTGCTTTACAAATATGAGCGTAATCACAAAGCAATAGTCACTTTAACTGACGATCGGCTTGCTGTGCTTCTTATCAGACAATTTTTTTTTTAAGGCAAAAAAAACATTTATTCTATTTAATAACCTATCCTGGTCTGACCTACGTATAAGATATACAACAATTAAAAAGTAAATTAATAATGTGGATATAACATATTAATATGGGGTACATTACAGGTATTTAAATTAAATTCCAACAAAGAGATCCAAATAGTGTCTACAAAAAAAAAGACAATTCATACCCAGCAATTTCGCTTTATTTGAAAATGAATATTATTCCTTTACCTACATAATTACATTTTACTTATGATAAAAATAATAAAAACTATACACATACCTAGCAGAGAGGCTGATTACTCCTATGTCGGGTGATATTCGGCAATTTTCGATGTACTTGTACTCGGGTGACCCTATTTACTAATATTATGTCCACATACAAAAATATAGTATGCTGATTATCTACTTTACAGATTTATGAGTTTTTATTTTTGTGTAAGTTAACTTTAGATTTATCAGCCATACTCGTATTTAACCCGGCTCACGAGAAATGACGCAAAAATTGCAATTGCGTTGCCATTTTGACGTCAAAAATAGACATTAATACTGTCTAATTAGTCGGTTTATCTAATTAATATAATAAACTGTACAATAGCTCATTAAATGGCAATTTGGAAAGTTAGTAGGCATAAATAATGTTCAACATTCTGACGATGTAAAGTCTTGTAAATATTTGAAGGCTTGCGAAAGCCAATGAAACACTATAAAATCAAATAATATAAATTAGTTTTATAACAAAGTCTTGAGTGCTTAGTATGAGTTTTTTTTTAAGTTTATGTTCACATTGATCGTGAATCTTTTATAATCTTAACTATTGTAGGCTTAACTTAAATTTATTCGTAAACTTGATCAACTTTTCGTTTTCAATATTACCTATGGTAAGAGAAGATAAACTAATATTAATAATAATAAAAAAACTGTCATAGCCAAAACGCGAGCTTATAAAATTTTCCCAGTAGAAAAAAAAATACAAATTTATCTCTCCCAGGTTATTTTCCATTTTTTTGTTGTTTATAAATATAAAATTCACTCTGTATCCGAGGGAAATATGCATCAATTTTACAAGAATTTTATTTAATGACACTTAAAATCATTTTATATCAGTCTTTTAAATTTATTACCTACATGTTATTCTAGTTATTAATATTTTTATTTCTATAATATGCTATGTATATTATCTATGCAATATGTAAATTTTATAGTAATAAATACACTCAACGAAATTTTCAAAATTAAATTCAAGTACTTAGAAGCAAAATTCTGAACATTATCGATTTTATGCTTCTACGCACGGCACTATAGGGTCATTTCCTCCTATCCACGTGCATTTAGTGCAGTTCGCAAGTTTGAAAATGAATATAAAAATATCCCAATACAAATTTCAATGAAAATATTATGTAATATAATCGTTAAATAGTCTAGTTTTTTTCGAAAAATCTTAGGTTATTTTATTAAATAGACAAATTTCGGAATTAGCCGTTTACCCACTTTGCATCCAAAAATCCGAATTACATCTACCCGTGGACCATTTTGCGTCCACCAGCTTAATCGAGGAATACAAGGGTAATATGTTTAAGAATTTTTAACAATTTATTTATTTATGAATATAGTTTCAATTCAAAATCAATATTATTATGATTAGAAATTCGTTTGTTATTCGGTATTCGGCACCCTTTTTACCATTTATATTCGGTTTATATTAGTAGTTATATTTTTTTAGCTACGTGACACGATATAGAACTTAAAGATAAAACTTCTTATATTGAGATTATTTTATATTAGATACAAGTCAAAGAAATCCTATGAAGAATGTGTTCAATAAAGCTAAATAAAATAAAGTAATTAAACTTCAAATCATAAATATTTATTTTCTAAACTATAAAAATGTAGTAGAGATTAGAAATAAAATAAAAGATAAGCAAAAAGAAATATACTTATTCTGATATTTATAATTATGGTAAATTATGACGCAGAAACATGAAGTCCTCTGCTCCGGGAAGAGTGTTGGTTTTTTTTCATGTAAATGCCTTGCTACCGAAATAAATGTTCCTTATACACAAGCCATTACACTAAGAAACACTGGCTTAATAAAAACAATGAAATAGTAAACTGAATAATTAGTAATATCCGTTTCGGTATCGGTTAAACCGCCCAGTTTTATTCGATAATTGATTATTCAGTGAAACCACTAGGTATTTGGCGCATCTCTAATTATAATAATAATAATAATAATAATAATAATAATAATAATAATAATAATAATAATAATAATAATAATAATAATAATAATAATTAAGGGATGTGACGACCCCATCGCCCACTGATGCGGCGAGTTTAGTGAGAGGATTTGCCGTATCAGTGCAATTAGTCCGCACCTAAAATGTTACTCATAGGCGAGAAGTGTTGGTCCGTGCTTCTTTTCCATCTGCCGTCATTGTGGGTGCAATCTATCTTAACGGACCCATCAGGGAATTGGGCGACCCCTGATGTATCAAGCCTATTGTACTATGATGAGTGGAGTAAATAGAGCGCGTATAGGGCCGCTGCCTGGGGGTCGCCAGGGCTCGCCCGGAGCTGGCGCCGGGCCGAGCAGAATGCGAGCCAGCCAACCCCGAGGGCCGGTACGACCATCTCGCCGGCCCACTCCACCATCACCACCAGCTGGCTTGGGTCCGGCAGGGTCTTCACAGACCCAGCAATCGGTCCCCGCCGCTGGTGGAGTACGCCGCATGAGGTGGACTACTCCACAAAACGAAAACATCATGCGCGCGTACTACAGGGCGACAGAGACAGGTGTCGGCGGGACGGGTTATCGGGCAAGATTGCTTGCTGCGTTTCATACCCTGGAGCCTTCGCTGTCCGTTACGGCGCAAAATTTGGCAGATCGAGTTCGCTTTATTCTTCGGAGAGAAATCTTTACTCCAGCAGAACTCGGTCAACTACGACTCGAGGTTGTGTCGTCTATGAGTCCCGGTAGCAGAAGGCGGAGCAGAAGGCGGAGTAGCATTGCGCGCAGCACCATATGCGACCCCAATGCTACAGTGGCCAGTCCTGCTCCTGATGAAACGGGAAGGGTAGACGACGCAACCGCCCAGAATTTAGAGCAGATCAGGGGATTACTTGAAGAGGCGATTCTCGAATTTCGCGAGCTCCCACTTGAGGAGAGGCCGAAAATCCCGAGGATACCCCTAAGTCGTAAAAATCGGGATGTCGTTGAGGCAGTAAGCCAAATGCTTCTTCCATACTTGGAAGAAAGCGGCAGTCTCAGCGATACCAACTCGATCCTATTTGGCGCCGCATTGGCGGTCTGTCGATTCATCGGCGCCAAAGTGCCCACTGGGAGAGCTGAACGGCATACCAATGCCCGGCACAGCGAGACTCCGGCGTGGCGTAAGAGGATTGAGAAACGTATTGCTGAGACCAGAGTCCTCATCGGCAAACTGATTAGTTTCAGGTCAGGCAATACGAGGCCGAGGGTGATGCATTTTGTACATATGGCAATGGCGGGGATCGATTTCAGTCTTGCAGACCCCACCTTAATGCGAAAAGTGTCGGAGCGCATCGATGACCTGAAACAGAAAATTGCGGCTTGGGGAAGTCGGATACGGCGGTACTCCGAGAGAGCGGCAAGGTTTCGCCAGAATCGTCTCTTTGGGAGTGACCAAAAGAAGTTTTATCGTACATGGGAGACACGAGCTGGCCCCTCCACTGTCCAAGGACCGAATGTCACAGATGTCATTGCCTTTTGGCGGAACATCTGGTCCCGGCCTGTGGAGCACATAGAGGGCGAATGGATGGCGCCTATAGAGGAAGCGTGTGCATCGATAGATGCGATGAACCCCATCACCATAGAGTCGGATGACGTGTTGGCTGCGGTCCGTAAAGCTCCGAACTGGAAAACTCCAGGGATTGACGGACTGCACCACTACTGGTTGAAGAGTTTCCGCTCGTGCCACGCATTCCTGGCCCGCCAATTCCAAGACGCCCTAGAACAGCGATGTCTCCCAAACTTCTTAACAACTGGGGTCACTCACCTAGCTCCAAAGTCCACCAATACCGCGGATCCGTCACAATACCGCCCCATAACGTGCTTGTGTACCACCTACAAAGCACTGACATTCATTCTGAAGGCTAAAATTGATGCTCACGTTGAGCACAATCATATCATGGTGGACACTCAGAATGGATGCAGGGGCGGGAGCCGCGGTTCAAAGGAGCTTCTCCTGATCGATGCGGTCGTGGCCCAACAGGTCAAACGCAACCGACGCAACTTCTCTGCAGCCTGGATAGACTACAAAAAAGCGTTTGACTCGGTTCCCCATACGTGGTTGAAGAGGGTCCTCGAGCTGTACAAGATCGATTGTACAGTTCGAAACTTCCTCGAGACCTGTAT